CTTTAATGTGCGGCTTACCCCCACCGGGTTTACCAACACAGCTCCATTTAGGCTCATTAGTTCACTTACTACTTTTTGTTTTCATCTAATCCAGGCACTAGTGGGACCTCAGTGTTGCATAAACGCTGGATAGATCTAGTTTTTTTTTTTTTCATCAGGTGAAGCTGTAAAGAAGCTGGTTTTCTTTCTCCACTTATCTCAGGCATTGTTCTTCCTGAGTGACGGCACAAAGACTAAAATACACCGGATGCTCAAGAGATAGAAGGGCCCTCAGTGACTTAAGAGACGTGCTTTCCCCTGTTTTGGAAATGGGTCTCTTACCATTAAAGCACTTCAACAACATAGGAATGACATAATTCTCTCAGCAGGAGTCCTTGGTTCAATTCTGAGAGCTTATACGACATTCACTGGAGGGAACAGTGATTGTCTCCAAATCTGATTAAAGTAAAATCAGGTTTTACTGTGAAATGTATAAACCTGGCTCATATTTAAAAAATGTATGTATATTTTAGGTAAATGACAAAAATGTATGATAAAATGCAATAGCAATAGCTCCAGTAGGTTTGTTAGCCAGCGGCCCCCACATAGGCTTGCAATGGAATTGTTTATCAATCAAAGTAGATCCACCCATTTTTTTGTGGGCAAACACAAGCCAGTAAGTTAAGATTTTTGGTGCTTGCAGGTCCGACTTCTGTAAATAACTTCAATGAGATTCAATGTTAACAACATTAACATACAGCCTCTGCACTACATCACTTTATTCTATCCTTTTATATCAGTATTCATACAGTTCTGGTTAATTTATTCCTGTTGTTTCTTATCCATCATTGCACTACGGTCACTTTATTTATTTCAGTATTTATCTTTATAATATATGTATTAGTTCTGTTGTTCCACTATCAGCCATGCACCTTATATCTTATCATTTAGTATTTGCCTACTTGCACATAGTTCTGTATATATACATTTATTTCTTGTTTACTGCATATAGCTCTGTTTACATCTGGTCACTACTGCACATAGTTCTGGTTACATCTGTTTACATCTGTTAGTCCGATCACTGTCCACTTATATCTACTTTTTTATATTTTGTATTTTTAAGTTAAGTTTAAGCTTTAAGTTGTATTTAAATTGACACTTTCTATTTAGGTTAAAATGTTTCGTTTACTTGCACTGTTATTAATTTACTGCTCTGTGTGCCTTTGAATTGCCCCCCGGGGACAAATAAAGTTTTTTTAATTGAATTGAATTGAATGTTAAGTGTGAATTATCAGACCAGAATGGCATCTTGTCATTGGCTGGTCCACTCTTGCAAAGAGACGTGATAAACACACGTATCACTTTATCTATAAATCCCTTATTAGACATACACCATCGTAACATGTCTTCTGAATTGGTCCACTGGACCCCATACCAAACTCACTCTACTGACTGTCTATTGCTTCAAGTCCGGGGGGTTTTCTCTGAGCCTGGAAAATCTGCATTTTCGCTCCAAAAACGTGGACTAATCTGGATGGACACTCTTGTTTCTCTCAGACTAAATAAAGAGAATGTTCTCAAACCACTTTATCACAGTGTGTGATGTTTTGACTGAGTCATCCTTTGTTGTTTTATTCGAGCTCTGTTTTTGTATCTGCATGTCATTGTAAATAAGGGAAACCTCAACGATATTTGAGGCTTAGACAAAGGTTTGATATGATATTAATACAATTTTGGATGCAGGACTTTGGTAATTTAACTCAATGACGTATCTTCGATTTGTTTCTTCTGCAAATGCTTTTAACATGGAGCTGGAGAAGTTCAAGTTGATGAAAACAATGTCAGTTACTGTTTGTGAGGTATCTGCCAATCAGTGCAGCTTGCCACATCTTCGCTGTTCACTTTTTGTTTCGATAGGAAAACAAGATATTGATCAAAATGTCTGAATAATTTAAGAGATATTGGTTGTTTATTCTAGTATCAGAATGAAAAAAAATCAGGGTAAAATGACTTTAATGTTGTGAACTCGGTAGTGAGGCTGTTTATTACAATTAAAGTATCTCTCTGTCATATTCCCTGTGTTTGTCACTGATGTAGCGTCATAGTGTAAAACTGACTCAATGTGAGGAAGAAAGAACTACGTCATGAGAGTGAAACCAGTTACTAGTAATGTCCCTCCAGTGCATTTTATGAACATGGCCTGATATGGAAACCACAGCCGTTTCCTTCATAGTAATATGAAGAGACAATTAGTTTCCATTGTCACTGCACCAATGTTTCTCACAAAAGACTATTAAGTTACTACTTTCTGAGGAGTGACGGGGACTTCCATGCTGACAGTATTGGTATCAGACCCATCCATCTGCCTCAGCACTTTGAAGAAGAAAGTCTTTCACTTTAAGCTTTCTTTTTGGTTTTAGCCCATTCATGAAATCTGAGTTTGCTGCCCTGAGGCAGGAGACCTAACGACCAGGAAACATAAGAAACATCGTCATCTCTGTGCAAAATGCCTTGTCAATGCCAATGTCAAAGTAGTGGGACTAAATTCAAACATAGAGTCAGGAGGTTTTTTTCTAAAAGATAAAACTAAAGTAATGCCGCTCCATCATCAATATGGGCCTCCATCCATGTGAGGTGGTGACTGTGTCTTCTGCCTGGATTTTGATGTTTTGTTTTGGTTGACAAGGGATATATCTATAGAGTGGGTGTGTTTACCCCAGCCAATGACAGCAGGCCGGTGAGTTTAGGAGTCGATTTAAATTCGCGATTTGCATTCAACATTCGAACCAGTGAATGTGACAGTCACGGCAAAAAGGAGAAAATGTAATCCTAGTGAGGCGTAACATCAAGCGGATAAAGCTCGTTCCAAAATGAGGGTGAACCTTGGGTCGGCTTTTACCCGTGGAGTCGACGCTGAGTTGTTCTGCTCTCTGTTGGACAGCAGGAGCCAGACACCGGTGGTTAGCTCGTGCTAGCGTGTGGTAGCTTGCAGTGTAGGTACAAGCAGTAAATGTAAACACAAGTTGTCTTTACAAGCTATGAGGAATAATTCTACTGACTCTACCTTCAAAGAATATGAAATCCAACTAATTAACTGTAAACTTCATGAAAAACAAGAATTGCTTTAACGCATGGGGTGAGTGAAATGTGCCTCGTTGTTTGAGTAGAAAAATACACAACACTTTAGTTGGAAATAAAAAAGGGCAATTCTGAGTCATTCTGTTTCAAATAAATAAGGAAAATATTTTCATGATCACATCCACCACAATCGAATTTTAAAATCCAATCTTTGTCAAACTCTTTACAGATGCTCGTTCGTTTTCATGGCAACGGACAATTGCCAAAAGGAAAAACACAAGAAAACATGTACTTGAGGGAACTCAGTGACCTCATGTACAAAGATGTCAGAACAGGTTTATGTAGAAACAGATGGATAAAAAGGAGACAACCTTCATAAGGAATTGTGTGGCTGTACAAAGGGGAATAACAACCCTCATTCAGTCGCAATTATCATATTCAATCTTTTTTATGCTTCCATTGTTGACTTGACATTTCTTTTAAAGATTGGATATGCTATTGTAGAACTATAAATTCAAACAATAAGCCAGGAAATCAGCTTAGAGCATAGCTTGTATATGCCAAATGGACAAAGCCTCTTAGTTTTCAAAAATGAAGCCAATACAGAAATTCCTTTAATCTGCATTCTTGCACTAACCAGCAGGAGGCTCCACTGAAATATAATTACCCTACTTCTCCTCTGTGAAAATGTTGTTATTATACATTATTTAGGGTCTCATTCAAGTTCTTCAAAACAACATGATGTTCTTTCTTTTCTTTTCTTTTTTAAATATGCCCTAATTTGGAGTACAAAAGATGGTATTATTAATGTAGGCTTTGGGTTGAGATATTTGATATTTGCAAGTCGCTATCAAGCTAAAAAATGGCTGCCTACTATTTTGGCGGCTCTGGTTCTGGAAGCTCCCATTCAAACCCTCAATTGTTATTTCAGAAAATCCTTATATCAAGATTTAAAACCTGGAACCAAGCAAACTGGATACCTGAATACTCAGCGAAAAACAAACAAACAAGAAAACAAGCGAACACACAAAAAATGATAGGAATATGAATTAGGAGGACTTGCAAACAGAGGTCAGAATCACGTGCATCCTGTTGCTGTTATGCTGTCGGTCTGAGTTGTGTTATATGAAACGGTCAATGCCTCTTTTTCCCCCCTATATTGGGAAAAATATATTTTGACAAACACCAGATTGTTTTTGAGTGACCAAAATAAGGACTGCTGGAGCATGAATAAATATTTAAACAATCTGAGATAAGTTGAATCTGATTAGAATTTGCACAAGCCACTTTTTATGTTCAATCATACAACCCACAGGGTCTAAACGCCCTTTACAAGGAGGCCAGGGTCAAAAGATAGCTAATCAGTACACGGGTCAAAAAGAGTCACCTTTATCCAAGAGCCCCATTGCATACTACCTATCTTCACCCAGTTTACTATGTCTTCTAATTCCTGGGTAAAATGGTCTAATTTTTCTGTGAAAATCCAGTCACTGCTCCAAAGATCCTATCATTGCATATCCAGCAATCTGTTTTCAGGAATGTGACTTTGCTCACTTTGCCGACTCTGCAGCCTGATCATTTTGACTTTGTCCACATTGTTTTTTAGTCACTGACCACTTCTGTCTGGCTCCCACATGAAGCTTAATGCTTGCATTTGTGTTTTGTCTCTGACATTTGTAGAAAACAGTTTTCACTTGCCATTGTCATGTTGTTACAACTCATTATTGAATAGATTAATGCCATGAATGAGTGTGACAAAAAAGTGAAGATTGATTTTTAACATTTAGATATTAATCCAACGAGGGTCCAAGTCATTTTCAACTACAGTGTGTATACTCGGTTAATTTAAAATATAGTGGTATTTATGTGATATTGAATGACACTGCTTTGAAAAGGTTACGAATAAGTGCACGGCTCCTTTAAGAGGACCCGGAAGTGCCTTGTTGACCCGGAGGTACAAACACACACTTCTCAATGTGACTTACCCTGGCTATCGTTGTTATGCTCTAACACTGTTTATTGATTGTAGTTTAAAGTCTACAAAATGTTTCTCACCACCGTCAATCGTAAGTATTTTAATGAGTGTGTTTACTTCTAGAAGAGCTCATTTTGTCCACGCTAACTATTATGTTTATTAGCTTGTAGTTAGTTAGCTTCACTGTAACGGTATGCTTTATCAAATGTGACTATTACACTTCTGTTTTAACTACGAGTAATGTTACTCTTGTATATCTTAAATGCAAAGTGTTATGAGTTACTAGGTATTTACGTGATACTCTTATTAATGTATATTTCGTGGTTATCTGCTAGCCTGCTAACGTTAGCCTGTTTACTTCATTCTGTAGTTCTCTAGTTTACTTCATTCTGTAGTTCTCTAGTTTTGTTTCTAAATCTCCCTCATTAAAAGATCAAAGTGTTATGAGTTACTAGGTACTTCATACTCTTATTCATTATTAATGATTATAATACATATTCTTTGCTCTGTGTCTTTCTCAGTGGCCAAGGCTAAATCAAAGTAAGTGAACAGATTTGTATGATTTGTGTCATTGTATTATTATTGTTATTATTATTATTATTTAGCATCAATACATATATACTTATATACTGTACATTCCATATATTTTTATTATATTATTATACTAGTCTATATTATATAACATTTCATTACATTATTCTATATTATATTATATAACTGCACTCTGCATCACTGTGGTACAGCACTGCCTCTCTTCTCTGCTGTTTACATGACTTGCTGTTATTTATCATACCAAGTCACTTTAATCATCACTTATCACTTTATCTTGCCATTCCCTGCACATACTGTCTCAATTCCCTGCATAGTTAACTTCATCATTCATTTTATTCTTGTATATACCCCCTGTTTTTATTTATCTCATCTATTCTGTTGAATGTGTATTTTGAGCTTTCTTGTCTGTGCTGCTGCAACGCCTGAATTTCCCCTCTGGGGATCAATAAAGTACTATCTTATCTTATTGATGGTGTTTGAACAGTCACTCACTGTTGTTTCCTCCTCTCAGGACCATCCTGGTTCAGATGGTGAGCGCTGCAGGGACAGGCTTCTTCTTCAACACTAAGAGGAACCGGCTCAGAGAAAAACTGGTGCTGCGTAAACATGATCCATTTGGTGAGACATGGCTCATGCTCTGCAGATGTAACATGTACACGAACACCAGGTTGTTGTTAATGTTGTTAACAAGCCACCAGGGTTTGAAGCTTAATTTCCAGCATATTAGAATCAAGCATACAACTTGTTAAAAACAGTAAATATGCGAAACAGCATCCAAAGCACAAGTGATTAAATATTCTGTATTCTTCGATTGAATGTAAAGGGAAAATTGTGACCACATTTAGTGTAACTTTTAAAGCAGAAAGGTCATCCACGACTTAAATTGGAGCTTATGAACCTGGGACGTTTTCTTCTATATGCACCTGAGTCGACCTGGAAAATCTGGAAACACCATTGACTCACTGTGCAGACAATAGTGGGCATTTGTCTGTAAGAATCAGAAGATAACATATTACATGTAGATTTTATTTTGTCTTCATTTTTCTGTCTTTGCAGTGAACAAGCACGTCCTGTTCTTTGAGAAGAGGAAAATCAAATCAATTTAATAATGCACCCAAGTACACGGACAGTGTAAACCTGCTGGGTTCAAACAGACTGTTTTTTGTTTTTTTTACCATCATGGACTATACAAAAGTGTGTCGTCAGTCTGGACTGACACGTTTTCTGAGGATTTTCTTCCTGGATGTGTCCAAAGGCTCCTACTCTCTGTACTTCACGACTTCAGCATGAAGCAGACCTGGAGCGATCTTTAACAAAGTCATCATCATCACCAGCTTTAAATAAGACACGACTCCTGTTGTCATAAGAGAAGCTGTTTTTTAGGACACCACAGCTGACTGGATCTAAAGATGTTAAGTTATGAAGTAACTAAAGGTGCAGTGAAGTGTTGTTCTTGTTTCCTGTAATTAAACCATTTGAGGAATATGATCTGAGAACAGTATGATTATTTAATAATGAAGTCAATTATGTGTTGAAACAAGTCAAGTGTTAACAGATTAAACTCACAATGTCAAAAAAGAATACCTGTCAAATGACAAAGGCACCATTTAAGTTACAATATGTCAAATTATATTATGTTGACCATCATGTGGTTCATTCTAAGTCTTCTCCAAAGAATCTTCTGTTTTCATTTCAATAAGACTCATCCCAGATTGTCGAGACATTTAGGAGAAATCCAAATATTCAAACTCAACAAGACCTCCTGAAAGTCTTCACAAGGGGCCTGAAGAAGCTCCCTCTGCAGACCTCTATGTAGAGATACTGTTCCTTAGTGGTTTAAATGTCAAACAGTCATTGTAATGGGGATGTGAAGTTGCAGTTTTTTACAACACCAACAAAAAAGTAGAATTTATTCAAAGTTCTTGAAGAGGAACTTCAATCTCAGAATAAGACTCATTTGTGGGAAAAAGAAAGAAGAGGATTCTGTAATCATGCCCTGCAGTCTCACGCCCCCTCGCATTCTTGACATGATGACAGTGAATATGTCGCACTACTGCAAGTCTTTGTTTTAGACATTCAACTTCAGCCTTCCACTTGGGTCTACTCAATGATTCTTACAACAGTTCAGCTGGGAGGTCCTTCCTGAGCGGGTAGGACGCCTGCGTGCCGACCGCCTGCACGCTCACTCCTGCCACCCGATTGGCTCTGCGTGCCATCTCCTCCAGAGGCATTGTGGGATAATGAGCCATGTAAAAGGCCAGCGCTCCAGTAAAGCTGTCTCCTGCACCCTGTGAGCAAAGAAATAAAAAATAAAAAAATTACAACAGTGCTTTATTAAATTTCACCCAATCAGTTCCTCTGCGAGTGATCACACTCGGCAGGATCGTAAAACCTCGGTGAGCTGCAATTTGAGTGTAAGGGGAAAGCGACACATTCAACTTTAAAACTACATAAAAAGACTTAAAAGTTTCACTTTGAAGAGTAAACAACATGTGATGGGTATAAAAAGGATGAGGATTTTGTTCTTAAAGTGTCAACAGTAGGGGGTGCTGTGGTATTTGCCAGCTGTTTATTAAGTCTTGCCCTGCTTCCTGAAGTTGAAGTTGAACTACTTAGTGATGAGTGATTGAATTATTATAGTGTGTCAGAGTAACATCTGTATTACGGGCATTAATCACAGTCATGAGGCCAGCACAGTTCAGGGCGTTCATTGTCATTGCGAGAGACTGTTACATTGCAAATATGTCCAGAAAATATTTTCCTCTCAGACATTAAGACAGAATAGAGACGTGATAAGAGCACGATCTAATCTGTTGACTGTCAGGTGTATAAAAAGTTACCATCAGATTCTTATTTAAATACTGTCGTCTATTGTTTAAATGACACTGGAACACACTGTAGGTTTTCTTTCATGTTTATGTGTCTGATCACATGATGTCCAAATCTCTCTACAAGTTGATTCTGAAAAGCTTACAGCTAATTATATTGTATAATTCACTTTATTGTTGAAGACATTATTCATTATTTGAGTTTGATATATTTTGTTTCTTTTCAATCAAAAGGCAAAGAAACAATCGTAATAAAACACTTTATCAGCTGAGAAGCACACGGCCGCTCTGATCACACCAGAACCGCCAGCAGCTCTGCTTTTTGGCTATCTGTGAACAGATAAATCAGAGATTCTCCCTCCTCATCTATTGATAGAGATGGAATGTGGCGTCCACGCCCTGGAGGGGTTTTTGTGCATGGAACAGGACGCGGTGGAAAGGAGGGGGCGGTGGATGGGTGGTTGGGGATTGCTGATGGGAAAAGGCACAATGGTATGTGGCGACACGCTCATGTTTAACCACAAATGCCCCCCCCCCCATCCCCCCCGACACTGGTTCTCACAAGCCCGCTCCATTACTCATCACTGTGGCTCTCGAAAGAGTTCAATGCACTCTGAACACCTCCATAAACCCCTCCCTCACCCCTCACCCCCTCACCCCCCCCCCCCCCAAACCCTAAAGTAACTCTTTTGTGTGAGGAAAGGTTGTCGGCTGTGACAGGATGATTCAGCGACATTGGGGCATGCAACAAAAACCCTAAGAGTGACCTCAACAGGGCAAAGCAGGCCATTCCCCTTGACTGACAGGGGAGGGAAGGAAGGAGGGTCAAAGAGGGTCGTGTGGTAGATGGGGCGGCTGAAGGGCATGGTCCAGACAACATAGAATTTGTCAGCATTTCTTGATAAAGCAGATGTTAGATACAGGCTAACTAGGAAGAAAGAAAAGGGGCCGTGATTTGACTTCTGACATCACATAAAGCCATTATTGCATCAGACATCCTTCCAGTGCATGCCACTGGTGTGACTCCTGGCCCGGACTGCAGGGGATGCTGGAAAGAGTGAGATCAGAGCCGAAACATTTCACAGGCCCGCTGGATTTCCATGTTTGAAGCCGTGCTGTGTTTATGTCTCCTGTCTGGTAGCTGGGCCGGGCAACGTTTGGAAATAAGTCTTTGGTGAAGCAGCCTCACTGGTTTGGCTCTGGCCTCGCTCCCAGCTCACAGGTTGCGGGTTGAAACAATGACACGACTCTTCAGTGGGGGTGTTGATGGGAACTGATGCGAGTGACCAATGCAGCACACAACCATAAAGAGGCTAGGTCCAATTATCGGATTAGTTAATAAGAAATTTAAAAAAAACCTCCGCCTGTTTGGAAATCAATCCTTCTTTTTGCACATGCTTTTATTTAATGATTGTTTTTGGATCACCTGTGAACTAATCTTTGACCAAATCCCTGTCAGCACAAGCATTACGTCTCGTCACACTACAACAGGGTGTGGCTGAAACAGGTTTCTGAACACTTAGTAATAACGACTAAACCTGCTAAAAATCAACTGTCAATCATCTCTGAGAAGCAGAATTTTCAGAGTAAAAGCCTGGAGAAAATACCAGGATGTTAAAATAAATGAATTAACTAGAAGATGATCAGCTGTTAATGACTTTCCTGTGTTTTATTCTAGCTTACACTTCAAAGTCAATACAATTGACAATACAATGGAGAAGTGGAAATGCAGCGGAATACTTTTGTTGAATTGAAATGCCCTTTAGTTGCTGCACAGAAATATTAGTGATGAAAACTCTCTGAAAAATGTCAATATCTCTCCGTGTCTCTTGGACATTTTGTTGTCTTTCAGAGAATTGTTTCAAATTCTGTAATTTCTAAAAAATCTTAAAAATGTATTTTTTCTTTCGAGGTTCATCGACTCTTAATGAATAATCCCTGCATAAATATAAAAAATACATATATTGTTATTTTTATTGATTTTTATGGATCTAAAAAAAAAATATCAAGAAGACAAGATAAAAAAAATCTACTTCCTGAATCTGGTGTGCCAAATAGTCGAGTGGTTCTGTCATGTCCCCGTGTACAGAGGCTTTAGTTCTCATTGCAGCGTCCGGGGGTTCGACCTGACCTCGGCCCTTTGCTGCAGGTCGTCCCTCTCTGCCTCCTCCCAACGTTTACTGTCCTATCCAATAATCCCCACCCCCCAGTTTGTGTCTCGACTAACAGGAATCATCTGGCTCTGTAGCTGATACATTTTGGATTATTTTGATCACTGAGTTGCTAACAGTTATCTTGTTTTCATGGTGCTGCGGGATGTAAACAAACAAAAAACTACAATGGGTTAAAATATGCTGAATTCTCTGTTAAAGTCAGAGCTGCATTTGGATCTCTGTTCGTTTAATTGAGGAACTCCTTTCATATTTGATCCATGTTTAATCTAAAGCACTGATCATAGCAGAGGCAGACATAAATAGAAAATGAAAAAAGTTCATTGTTATTCTGTCTCTTTTACAGGTTATACTGTTTTTCCTATTTACTTGTGTTGTGTACACATAACGACTTTCATTCCTGTTAATGTTATTTTTTTTATTCAGGTTTGTCTTGTCATTTTGTTTTATTATTTTTTTTGATACTACTCTTCTCAAATGTACTTTGACGCTTATCTATTTATTTATTTTTTATTTAGTTATTGTATTTTATTTTTTGTGAGTTTTCCACTCTTGCACTTTTATTCTTGTCTTTAAACTAAGAGGTCTATTTGTTGGACTGGGAGGGTTGTTTACAGGGAGAAGTGATACTGGGTTTTTGAATGTTTCTGGGGAAAAAAAGAAAAATGTTGACTGCATCCCAATCGCACTGTATGTCTTGAACTTGCTTCAATAAAAATATGTTGAAAAAAAAAAATTAATTGTTATTTCCTGTAAGCAAATCCACGTCTATTTAAGTTATGACAAAACAGGACCCTGTACTTATGATCTCTACTTTTCTACCACTTGGCTGTCCAACCTTCCTCTGGCCTTACTAACAACATCTCACTCTCTGAGACTGGCATGTGACGCTACTCGATCCAGTCAATGAAGCTCAACGAGGCTGACAAGCGCTTCCCCCTTCAGCCGCGGCACCGCCGCCCTCGACACAGTTTGGTGAAGGTTAAATCTGGAGGCCTGTCAATCAAACGACACAAGCGCTCGCCGCGGATGAGCCTTGATGCTCTTACTGGTTCTGCTCTGTACGCCGCGTCTTGACCTCCGTGCTGCTCCTCTGCCTGCTCTCCTCTGGTACTCACACTGGAGTTAGAAATTAGGATGGCAGATGAGTCGGCAAGAAGCTTTCCAGATTAACAAAGTGTGTTTTAGGGAAGTCCTAACCAGAGAGTCAGGGAACTTGGTTGTTTTGTGTGACTTCCTGCGATCAAACCTAGAGCCATTGAAAGCTTTCTATTTGCTTCTGTATTTGGCTTTCACTGACAACACTCCAGGGAGTTGACCTTTCTCTCGTGCGTCTGACAGCAGCATGAGTGCTGTGTGTTTAGAATAAATGGAAGTAAAAATTGAATAAGTTATTACATGCAAGCAATAACTGCCATGGCTGTATAGACAACAACAAAAGAAGGCATACAGAAAATGAGAAGTCCATGAAGAGAAGAAATCCAGGGAC